GGGCGCGGAGCGCAGCCGGCAGGGTGGCAGGGCGGCAGGGCGGTGGAGCGGCAGGGCGGCGGAGCGGCAGAGCGGCAGGGCGGCGGGCGGAATGCCGCGGCGACCCCACACACACACACACACACGGCGAACGCGTCACACATGGCACAGTGGACATGCACACGGCCGGGCACAGGGAGCGGGGGTCAGCGAGGGACAGGCGGTAGGGCGCCGGGGAGATGGCCGCCCGGGGAGAGCGGAGAGGACGGACTGGAGGGAGCGCGCGTCGGCACGGGGGGGGGCAGGGCGAGCGAGCGAAGGGGATGCGGGTGTGTGTTTGTCTGCGGGGGCGCACCATCTTGATGCGCAGGCGGTGCACGCGGATGTCACGCAGCATGTGCGGGATGACGGTGCGCTCGTCCCCGGCAATGTCGATGGCCACGATGTCCACGCCGTTGGGGGTGTGCCCCAGGCCGGAGGCGATGTTGCCGAGGGTCTTCAGCGGCGAGCGGTGGCCGTTGCCGGTCTCGGAGAAGGGCGACCGGAAGGACCGCGACGGGCCGATGCCAATCTGGTGCGACTGCACGTCGTCCGGGATGTCCACGACACTGACGCTGAAGGGGGACATCAGCGGGTCGAAGTAGTGCACCACGCACCCGAGGAGGTCCCCGCCGAAGGCCCGCTCCACCGTGTTGGGGATGGACCCGGACCGGAAGCTGTACGCCACGCAGGGCTTGCGGATGAAGAACTTCGGGTTGCACAGGACCAGGCGCGGGTGGCCCTTGTTGGTGGAGTTGATGTTGCTCTTGGACAGGAGCTTGCGCTGCTTGCCGCCGGGGCCGTGGCTGTGGCCATGGTGGTCATGGTCGTCCGGGCGGATCTCCGACAGGACCAGCTTATTTTGGTCGGCCTTCTCCTCCAGGATGTAGCGGTCCGGCCGGGCCGGGGCTTCGGGGGCGGTGGCGGCGGCCGCGCCGGCGCCGGCCTCCTCGCCGGGCACGTCGCGGCGCTGCTTGCTGCCGGCATCGGCCGCCGGGGCTTGGTCCTGGCCGGCCTCGGGCTTGGGCTTCAGCTTGTACTTGTGCGTGTGGCGGCTGGAATTGGTGTCGACATCCTCGATGGCAATGTCATAGCGGATGGCGCACTTGACCAGGTGCGCGTCGATGGCCAGCAGGGGATTGAAGTTGCGCTCCTCGGCGTGCACCGGGATCGGGCGCATCTTGCGCAGCGACTCGCTGGTGCCCTCGCGGCCGTAGGTCTTGATCTTGGCCGTGCCGAGCTTCTTGGCCGCGTGGTTGACCCGGGTGGCCAGCGAGGCCCGCGCCTCGGACAGGTAGTTGCACGCCAGCGAGGCATTGTTCATGCGCTCGGTGGCGTGCGGGATCATGCGCACAATGAAAACCACCGTCCACACCAGCAGCAGCCCGGTCAGGATGAGGATGACATTGTACCGCCGGGCCAGCATCCGCAGCTTGGTCCAGATGGTGGGCGGCTTGGCGGCCTTCGCCACGCGGGGTGACGAAATCAGCGGCCCGAGCTCATAGTCGGAAGAGGCATACATCTTCGCGAGCTGCGGAGGGGGCGGGGGGGGGGGGGTGGGGGAGGTAGGACCGAGGGCCGGGCGGCGAGGCATGCTGTCAGTGTCTACGTTGTGGGGTGCGCGCGCCGGCGCACTGCCAGAGGCGAGGGCGTGTGTGTGTGTGTGTGTGTGTGTGTGTGTGGGCATGTGGGCGTGTGGGCGTGTGTGCACAGACGCCCATCGGCATGCCGGCAGGGGACTATACGGATGGCGAGTGGGCGCGAGGGGGGCCATGCGCGGCGTGCGGATGGCGGGTGGCTACTAACCTGGCAGGGGTCGGTGGAGGGGCAACGAGGCCCGCTTCGAGCAGACAGGCAAAAAGGCGAAGTGGGCGGGTGGGTTGGGGGTCGCGCGAAGGCCGAGGGCGGGAGGGGCGGACGGTGCGCTCGCGTTCACCGGGGCAAAGGACCGGCTACGGGGAGGGGAGGCGGGTGGGTGGCAGTGGTGGGGGGTGGGGGGTTGCCTGTTTGCTCGGTGCTCCTGGAGGACTCGCCCGGGGCGCCTGGCTTAAATAGCCGCCTGCACCTGCTTGATTCCGGCGTCGGGTGCGATGCCCCTCGCCCCCCGGCCGGGCACGGTGGCCCGAACGGGGCCAACCCAGCGCATCACCCCCGGGGACAGAGGTCCGGCCGGGGAGGGGGGGCCCGCCACCCCAAGGGGGGCCGCCCACTCGCCTTGCCGCCGACCGTATGATGCTGCGCGGGGTCGTGGGTGGAGCGATGGCCCCGGCGCAGCCGTGCCGTGAGAGACCTACGCGCACACACACACACACACACACACACACACACACACACACACACACACACACACACACACACACACACACACACACACACACACACACACATGCAGGCGCGCTGGCTCAGAGACACCATGCCGAGGAGCGAGGCGCTTGGTGCTGTGCGGATCGCAAGCGCGTGGCCACTCACGGTGCCGAGGGGGCGGGGCTCGGAGGCCGGCCGGCCGGGCCCCATCCGCACAGGCCACCGGCGGCCCGGGGGGGCGCGCGCGCGCATTCAGGCCGTGAGAGAGAGGTCCAGGCAAGATCGCGGCAGGCCCGCCGGCGGCCCACAATCACCCGCGAGGACGACTGCCAATGTATAACTGGCCGACTGCCACCGAATCTCCCGGGGGGCTATCGCCCGCCCCCTGGGCTACCCTGTTGGCCCCGGGGGGCCGGCCGGGAGGCGCGATAACCACCGCGGTTGTGGGCTAATCGCCCCGTGTCACATGTCGTTTTCGTTGGCATTGCCCCTCCTCTGCCGATCGACCGGCCATCTAGGGGCGGGGAAAAACACGATACCGCGG